TTTTTTAAGAAAATTGTACTTTACCCTTTGTCCCTAAAAAAAATTCCTCTTTTCCCATCTAATTTCAAAACTTTGTGGCTTTTCTCCGCCTTTCCCCTTTCTTTCTTCCCCCACCAAATCTCTGCCTTGCTGGCATCCCTTCTCTGTTGTGTTCCCTTTTTCTTTTGTTTACTATCATTATATTTATTTTGCATCTTATTTTTCTCTTTCTTGAATGTTTTTTTAGATCTTAAGTCCTTCATTTTCCTCGCTTCCTTCCTTCCTTCTTTCTTAGTTAAATTTTGGGATTCATTAAAGATGGCGTCTTCATCATCTTCTTCTTCTTGTTCTTCTGCCTCCATCTGTTGTATTGTTTGTTGATAGTTAACCAGCGCCATTTCTAAAAAAAGGAAGGCTTTTTCCATACCATCTTTACCGTCTGTTTTTGTTTGCTCATATTCTTCCTTCAGTTCCTCAAAAGAAAAAGCCATTATAGATCTTTTCTTTTCTTTTTTCCCTCTTTCTTCTTACACCAACCAAGATATTTCAAAAAAAAAAAAAAAAAAATCCCAAAATCCTCAATCAATCCAAGCCAAGACAAAATTCTCCCTTTCTCTTCCAGGGGTAGTATCAGACAAAAGAAAAAAGAAAATCCAAATCTGTATTTTAAAGCCTTATTGGAATTATATTTCTGTCTTCAAATCCTTAAGGCATCTCCTCCAACAAAATCAAACTAGATGAATATATTTTTTGTCCTCTCCCTTCCGACTTATCCCATAAAACTAGTTTTACCTGAAAAAAAAACAGCTTTCTCAATATCCACTTATTAATTCTGTCGGGAGGGAGAATAAACTTTCCTTTCAGCACCTCAAAATTGCCGCTTATTTCCTCTTGTGGAAAGAATCATCCAAAAAGCCATCATTTGCAGGAATTATATTAAATGTATCTTAGAGTCCTGGATCAACCAAGAAAACTTTCACTCTCAAAAGCTTTCTCCTCTTCCTCCTGCGCATACTTGCCCAGCTGCCGGCTTCTTTGTGGCGGCCATTGCGGACCGCCGCTGCACCGTCTTGGGAAAAGGGGGTTCTGCCGGCCGGGGAGGGGGTCTGCAACACCCCCAAACCCCTCTCCGGATCCTCCCTATCTTCAGCTACCCCTGCAGGGTAGCCTAGCTCCGGACCCATCCGGATCGGAGCACCAAAAGCGGCTAGCGCGGCAGGGATCGCTCAGAGTCGCAAATCCCTGCCGCTCGCGAAGCTGACAAACCGGAAGTGTCTACGCTTGCTTTTTATTTTAAAGGGAAAGGTTTAGTATTAATGTTTCTTTTTTTTTTTAAGGGAACAGCCTTTTTTTCTCCTTTCCTGGTATTTTTGTTTTTTCATCTACCTTTCTGGTTTATTTTTATGCACTCTTTTCTATTTGAGACCTCTCAATTGGATTAAGGTGTTGAAGAACCTGAAGAATTTTTCCTTTTTCTTTTTTTTTCTTTTTTTTCAAGCCTTTTTCTTCATCTAATTACTGATTGGATTAAGGTATACAAGAACCTGAAGAAATTTTGTCCTCCCTTTTTTTATCATTATTATTTGGCTTCTTTTTTCTACTATTTTTATTTTGAACTATAATTGGTTATTTCACAATTGGATTAAGGTTTAGAAGAACCTGAAGATTTGAATTGCTTAAAATGAGTAGGAAATTTACAGCTCCTGGTTCTTCAACTTCTACTTCTTCCTCTCAACCATCTGGAGGACAACGTTCAATACAGACAATGTTAAAGCAAGAAAAAGAACAAGAAAAAGTGACTCTGCAGATGATTATGCAAGGAATTCAAAATATTCAAGCAAGATCAGAGAATATTGAAAAGAGAATAGAGAACATTGAACAAGGAACAGAGAACATTGAACAAAGAACAGAGAACATTGAACAAAGAACAGGGAAAACCAATGAAAAAGTGGAGAACATCCAACAAATGATGTTGAAGTATGATGAGAGATTCCCAAAAATTGAAGAAGATAAACAAAGAGACAAGAAGATTGGAGATATTGATCATAGATTAACGGTGGTTGAACAAGATAAAAGTGGTATGTTGAGATGGGAGATGGATAGATCAGAATTCTATCTTAGATTCCAAAACGTAGAGGAAGAAAAAGGACAAAACCTAGCTGAGATAATGATAGAAATACTGGCTGAAGCTTTGGAAATAACTCAAGAGAAGATGATGGATGGAATAGATGAGGTTAATCGAGTTTTCACAAGATATGTGATGAGAAATAGCTTACCAAGAGAAGTTCACATTAGATTTACAAAGAAAGCCATTAAAACGCAAATATTGCAAGTGGCAAAAGAGAAAACATTGAAATATAAAGACAAGCAGATTGTGGTCTTGAAACAAATACCCAGAAGAGTGAGAGAGATGAGAAGAAAATACCGATTCCTGACTAAAATGCTACTTTAAAAAGAGGTGAATTATAGATGGCTGATTCCAGAAGGTTTAATGTTCACATGGCAAGAACAGAGACATAGAATTGACTCAATTGAGAAAGAGGAATTATTTTATAAAGAATTTTTTGGAGGGAAAGAGGAAGAGGCAGAAAAAGAGATCTCACTAATTGAATTCCAAGAGGACTGCCAAATGGTGATTGAAAAAGAAGAAGGTGCAGTAGGTGGAAAGGTGGAAGCCAAAGAACAACGTGAACTAATATCTACGAGAGCTGCTAAACCTAACTACAAAATATAACCATGGAAGAGAAAAAACTGATTACAATTAATATAAATGGACTTAACTCAGCCGTTAAAAGAAGGAAAACCTTTCATAAATTAGAGAAATTAAAATTTAATATAATTTGTCTACAAGAAGTACATATTAAAAAACAATCTGAACAATTGTTGATACAGCCAAAACTAGGGAAAATATTTACTTCCTTGACACAATGTAAGAAAAGAGGAGTGGTTTTATATATTAAAGAGACTATCCCAGCAAAATTGATTTATACCGATTATGATGGAAGAATACTAATGGTGGAAATAATGGACAATAATACGAAAACACTCCTGATTACAATCTATGCTCCAAATGACAAACAAGGAGACTTTTACAAAAAATTACATATGAAAATAATTGAACTGGATTATGCTAATATAGTTATGATGGGAGATTTTAATGGAATTGTAGACAATAAATTGGACTATACAGCACAGAAAACAATAAACCAAAACAGAAAGACTCTCCCTAAATCTTTTTTTTAAATGGTAGATGAAATAAACTTAAAAGATACATGGAGAGAAAGAAATGCTAAAACTAAACAATACACCTTCTATTCAAATAGACACTTATCGTGGTCCAGAATAGATATGATATGGATGTCAACAGAATTAATAACTAACATTCAAGAAATAAATATTGAAACAAGTACTTGGGCAGATCACAATCCAATGACAATTACATGGAAAGGACAAAAAAGAAGATCTAGATGGACATTATATAATACTATTTTAAAGGAAAAAGACTTCACACAGTGGATGGAGAAAGAATTGGCTTTTTTCTTTAGAGAAAACAAAAAAGAAGATATATCAATTCAGAATGTATGGGATACAATGAAGGCATATGTTAGAGGCTTGATAATAGACTATACAAGGAAAAAGAATACTATGAAAAGATTAGCCTCTAAGGCCTTAGAAGATGAGCATAAAAGACTTGAAAAAGAGCTACAAAAATGCCACAGAAAAAGGACATCAAGCTAAAAATGGATATAGTTAAACATAAAATGAGTCAAATAGAAAAAGAATTAGCACAGAAAATTAGAAGTGCTAAACAGAACTACTTTGAAGATGCAAACAAACCAGGTAGATGGTTAGCATACAAATTGAGAAAGGAGAAAGAATCAAGGAAAATATTGCAATTAATAGATGACCAAGGCCAAGTTTGCTATGGTAGTAAAGAGAAGAAGGAAATCATTCGAGACTTCTATGGGAAATTATATATGCAAGAGAATATTGATGAGGAAAGAGTTAAACAGTACTTACAGAATGCTAATTTACCTCAGATACCTAAAGAGATTGAAACAATGCTAGAAAGCAATATAACGATGATGGAGTTAACTGAAGCACTCAAGAAGCAAAATAATGGAAAGGCACCAGGCCCAGATGGACTTCCGGCAGAATTTTACAAAACATTACAAGAATCGTTGAATCTTCCATTGCTAGAAGTTATGAATGAAGTTATGTTAAAGAAGAAGATACCTAAATCATGGTCAGAAGCCTATATTACACTTATTCCAAAAGAGGAGGCCGATCCATTACAAATTAAGAACTATAGACCTATTTCTCTACTAAATGCAGATTATAAAATCTTTGCTTCAATATTGGCAGAAAGACTTAAAAATATCTAAATAATTTTATTCATCCTGATCAAAATGGATTTCTGCCAAAGAGACAAATCAAAGATAATATGAGACACAAGTTTGGTGCGATTAACCTTGAGTTTGTATCTATTGTTTGCTCTTGTATTGTTATGGTTGAAGCTGAAGTATTCATTGACAGGTAGGACATTGCAATGTATGATTTTATATACTATACTTAGATCAGACTGAAGGTGACGTAGTTCTAGGTTTTCTAGGTCTAGAATTTCAAGTCTGGTGGCATAAGGTATTCTGCAATGAGTAGACGAGTGGAGAACTCTTCTTGTGAAATATTTCTGGACTTTCTCTGTATCTCTGTATCTATATATCAGATACATAATGTGGGTTCCAGACTGATGAGCTGTATTCGAGTATTGGTCTAGCAAATGTTTTGTATGCTCCAGTTTGTAGTGTAATATTACCAGAGAGAAAGCTATGTAAGATTAGGTTTACAACTCTTAATGCCTTTTTGGCTATGTAGTTACAGTGGGCTCTAGCACTTAGATCATTAGAGATGAATACTCCAAGGTCCTTTACAGAGTTTGGATCGTCAACTTACAGTTAAGTAGCTATTTGGGAAGGCAGCCAGTACTTCAGATGGGCATGGGAGGGGTCTTTGGAGGGACTATTCAATGGGAACTTTAACTATAAGACTATATCTAGTTGGGGGTTTGCTGCCTATTATCCACCCCTTGATGCAATTGCTTTACATATCCCAGTGGTAGCAATTCCTGTAAATATAACCTGTGTAAAAGTAGCTAATTGTACATCTTCAAGTAAAAAAACTCACTGTCATCGCATTAGCTCACCTACTCTGAACTGCACAGCTTTTGAAGAGACTTCCTTTCAGTTTGCCCATGTTTGGCAAGGATGGTTTTTTTACATGTGGTCAAGAAACTTTTAATTATGTTCCTGCTAATATTAGTGAAGTGCAATGCTCCCTCAGCTGGCTGATTCCTGTTTTGCTTTCTAAACAACAACTTTATCATTCTAATTGTTCTCAACGAGGGGCCACGCTAGATAGCACTTGTGACTCTGAAACAACCTTACTTAATAAAGCAGAATACGTAGTGCTAGCTTTGTCTGTAGTGGGCGTGCCAGCAATTGCTGCTCGTGCTCACCTTAACATTAACCCTGTTGCATGTAATTTAGCAAAAACAACTAATGTTACTTCTTCAGCTATCTCAACAATCAACGACGAGATGCAAGCATTGAGGAAGGTTATTCTACAAAATCTATATTGTTTTAATTTGTTTGATGGGTCACGAACCATCCAGCACCAGCTTAATATTTTACACAATTTGGCCTTGGATTTGAAAATTGATAATTTAGGATCTTGGTGGGAAAGCTTTTGGGCTTGGTTGCCCACAGGCTTAATGGGAAAAAATTATGCTATGTAGTCCTTATTTGTGCTTTAATTAGTGGGTGCTGCTTTGTTCAATGTCTCCCTTCTCTTTGCAACATATGTATCACAGCTTTTCATCCCAAACCTTCTCCTACATTGACTCAGGGTCAAGTATATGCCCTGTATAAACAACTGCAAGTGTGCTCTTCTACTGATTATTATGGGTCCTTTCCTAGCTCCTCTTATGACTATTCTTTATCTAACAAAATAAAAAAGAGTGAAATGTAGTAGCTATTGAGGTCCTGTAGATGGCACTAGGAGCATGTTGTAGTGTTTAAAACCTATAGGGGCCTCTTTGTTATTGCATGATCTCATTCCCTATCTTGGGTTGGAAAGTCCCAGGCTTTCTGGACTTATAGGTGATCTCATTTTACTAACATCACCACTATTCTTAATGATTGGTTGTGAAGTTTCACCCATGTGGTATCTATTCTCCAATCTGAATGCTGTATCTATGCTACTCTTCCTTGATTGTAAAAATGGTATAAAAGTAAATAAACACTGCCCAGGCAGTCAGACATCTTGGCACCCTGTACAAAGACTGGTCTTTGAAACCCATCACCAAGCCAAGGAGGGGAGATGTGGCTCCCTTCGACCCAGCTGGCAGTCTCCCCCTTCTTTGCCACCTCTAAGGGGTGGCTCCGGCCCCAAATCAAGTTGATCGGGGCCCTCTGACAGGAGAGAGCACAAACCAAAACTGCGGATGATCGTGGATTTCAGTCTGTCGGCGAGGGAGTCCAGCCGGAAGACCCCCAAATATTTATTTGATACAGAATATGTGCTGATCGCAAATGCACTGATAGAAAATAACAGGGCATATTAGTTTAATATTGTCAAGCCTTTCTCTTGGATTTGTATCATTTGCAGCAGCAGTATAAAGCATCAGTAATAAATAGAAATGCATTAGAAGTAAAATGCAGACTCAGCTGACCACACATCCTGGTCTAATCACTTAGTACTTGAAAGAAAGTGATCTAAATGGATAGTGTGGTAAGAAAAGATTGTCTTATTGAGGCCAATGTTTTGAAAGGGCTCTTTTACAAGATATAGAACCAGTGGTGGGATTCAAATAATTTAATAATCAGTTCTCTGCCCTAATGACTAGCTGGGTGAGCATAGCTGGGTGCGTGTGGTCAGGAGGCATGACAGCACTCAGTTTCCTGCAGCACTCTGCCAGTCAAACCAGGCTGTGGGAGTTAATAACAAAATGTGGGCTTTGCTAACCCTAGCCCCACAGTTCAGCCTCGAGCTGCAAATATTCTCTTGATAAAGACTTTTTGGTTAGAGGGAGTCAGAGCTTGCCTTATATGAGATGCTCCCAGTGGATTTCACTCCAAATTTTGATATATTTCTATAAATAAGGAATGTAGAATTATAATGGCTGAGTCTTTGATCCTTCATACATAAAAAAAAATACAAAGCTAAAAGATAAACAAATAAAAAACAGATTTGAAAAAAGAAAAGACTCAGGAAAGAAAAAGTGAAAATATAAGAAAGGAAAAGGAAAAGAAGGAAAACCGAAAAAGAATGACTTCCAACTTTCTTTGGTACATATATAAGTAAAAAATATATATCAAACTCTTACTCTAAGATTAAAATTTGTTAATATTATTTCCATAATCCCATATCAAATCATCAAAGCCCAGATCAACTTGGACATCCAGTTGCACTTCCTTTGCAGTCGGAGGGGAGTCCACAATTGTCCGCGGCTTCACTCCAAGCTCTCCTTGTTGGAGGGTTCCAATTGGGACCAGAACCACCCTGTAGGGGTGGTGAAGAAAGGGGAACTGCCTGTCAGGTCAAGGGGAGCTGCATCTCCCCTCCCTGGTAAGGAAAACCCCCTTCGAAGACGAGGTGCATCAGTGGCCTAAAATGGCCACCATCAAGAAGGGAGGCAGTCTGGAAAAATAAGACTGTACTGGAGTGGAGAAGCAGTGAATGGTGTGTGGAGTGGGTGATAATACTTCGAACTTTAAGGTAACCCCGATAAAAAACAAACACAACAGAATTCTCATAAAGAATTGTGCTAGCTGCAATTGAAAATTGAGAGAAAAACTGGGAAACATAAGGAATATCAAATGGCTAGTGTGATCTGCTGTCTGCTGCGTGGGGTGGGGTGGGAGTTGGGGAGTGATTATTTTATTTTTTTCTAGATTTTGTTCTATTGTACTTTATTAATTTATTTGATTCTTTTCGTTAGTTTTTATTGTTTTTTATTTTTATTTTTTGCTTTAAATATGGTTTTACATTGTGTAAGCCGCCCAGTCATCATGGGTGAATAGGCAGCAATATAAACTAAATAAATAAGCAAACAAACTTATTTCTTGGGGGGAAAATTTAAACAGAAAGTAAATAACTCAGAATTTTTTTTACAAAAAAGAACATAAAATTGGAACTGGTGATTGGACAGAATTTGGCATGAAAAAAGCATTATTAAAATGGTGAAATTGATTGTTTTAAAAAGAAAATATTAGTTAATTTTTGAAAAATTGGCAAAGTTAATAAAAGCACTAAGAAATGGGTGGAAAGTGAAAACTGGACTAAGAGCACCACCTGGTGATAAAAGAAAAATCCTGCAGATCCCTTCAAACTAACAACTTAACTAAAGTGTGAATTTAAAAGGAATAAAAGTAACTGTATCTTAATAAGATCCCAGAAAGCTGAAATACTACAACTAAACAGCAAAGAAATATATAAAGATATCCCTGGAGCTATTGGTTTCTTCTTGGAACTCTTTGAAGAGGATTGGGAAATAATAGATTGGGAAATAAAGACTTGAGGACATTGACTTTAAAAGACTTTAAAAATTAAAGAAAGATGCAGGTTTTAATAAAAACCACAGGATAAGCAGATGATTGTATACAACAAGCAAAATAAAGATGAGTGAAATATATAAAGAAATAAGGTTTGCTGGCTGGAGAATTCTGGGAGTTGAAGTCCACAAGTCTTAAAGTTGCCAAGTTTGGGGACCTCTAAACTAGATTATCAAGGAAGAGAGAATAACGTGCAGCAGATGCCTAGCAAAATTTAGTAATTCTGCAGATTGGCTGTTTAGATTGAAATCAGGTGCAAGATAGTGATGGTAAGTAAATTATTGGGCAGTTTAGTTTGGTATTTATTTCAGTAGGCTGATTATAGAAAGCTAAACAGGATTAGACCTGGTAAGTACTTGGCTGGAAAGCCAACACAAAATAGGACGTGGGGAGGAATGGGGTTGGGAAGGAAAGAAGGAAGATAAAAATGACTTTTATTGTCATTTTTTAAGTACACTGGCACACATTAAAAGTGAAATATATATACATATCCATACACATACACAACACTCATATACACATGCTACACACACACACACACACACACAATCATTGCCCATTTTGAATACATAGTGGAGAGGAAGAAAGAGTATTGGATATATAGACAAATGTGTGTGAAAAAAATGGAAAGAAATAGGATTATAAACAACAGCTTCCAATCTTAGCAGTTATAGATGAGAGAAAGAAAGAGAAATGAGAAACAGAGAGAAGGAGAAAGAGACAGAGAGATGAAAAAGAGGGAGAAAGAAAGAAAGAGTTTAAAAGAAATTTAAAAAATGGCTCTTTGAGTGTTTATGGTTGCAGACCCCTGGGTTAGTCAAACACCATGGTCGTTAAGTGAACCTTGTGGTCATTAAGCAAACACTGGTTGTTAAATAACAAGTCCATTTTCCCCAATGGGCATTTTTAACCAGAAACCAAAAGGAATTGTTGGAAAATGGCAAAAAACATAGAAAACCTACTAGCCATTAAGCAAGGACCACTTATATTTGATTTGCCAGTCACATGGCCACTTAGCTACACCCACCCTAGTCACATGGCCATCTAGCTATGCCCACCCGTCACATGACCACCTAGCCATGCCCAGTTTTGTCTTCTATTTAAGACAGCATTTAAAAAGCATTGCCATGTGTGGATTAGTCTGATATCTGTTGCCATGGAAGCTGGATGGGTAATGGAAGAAGAGAAGATGAGTCAACTCCACTAATGCTCCTGGGTATTTTTCCAATGGTTCTCATTTCTGTTTCCATGGAAACTGAAGTTGGATGAGTAAAAAAGGCAACGCATTTGAAAAAAAACAACAAGACTGCAACCATGATAGTATTTTACCAAAGCTAATTTTGTTTTCCTCTCCTCACAGCATAATCTCTCACCCTGAAATCCACTCTCCAAGAAAGAAAGATGCCTAAAAACTGCTAATAATTATATTTTTATAGGCAGTAGCAGCTGCTAGATGAAAAGAATAGGCTTTCAGATTTTCAAATGTAATTTCTTTCATAATACCTGTAGCATTTTAAGACTTGTGGGAAGGAAAGAAAGGCATAGATTAAAACAAGTTTTTAAAAGTTTCTAAAAGATTTACAAATGCAATGTTTTTTTATTTATTGATTATGTTTATAACCTGTGGCTGTTGTTTGTTGTTGCTTTTGCAGACATGGAAAGTCAGACCCAATTGTTATTAAATAATTTTTCAGATATGAGCTTTTTTGGGGAGAAAAATAAAACAAAAACTACAATTTTAAGATATTAGATGCATCAAGAATGGCTTTCATTGAGCAACTTCCGGTTTGTCGGCTTCGCGAGCGGCAGGGATTTGCGAAGCTGCGCGATCCCTGCCGCGCTAGCCGTTTTTGGGGCTCCGACCCAGCCGGGTACGGAGCTAGGCTGCCCTGCAGGGGCAGCTGAAGTAGGGGGGATCCGGAGAAGGGTTTGGGGGTGCTGCAGACTCCCTCCCTGGCCGGCAGAACTCCCTTTTCCCAGGACGGTGCAGCGGCGGTCCGTAATGGCCGCCACAAAGAAGCTGGCAGCCGGGTAAGAATGCGCAGGAGGAAGTGGAGAAAGTGATTGAGAGGAGAAAGTTTTTCTTGGCTCCTAGGACTCTAAGACATATTTAATAAAATTCCTGAAAAGTATGATTCTCTGAATAATACCTGCCAGAAGAGGAAAAAAGCGGCTGCTTGAAGGTGCTGAAAGGATAGCTTTCCCTCTTTTCCTACGGAATAAATAACTGGATATTAAGAAACCTATTTTTTTAGGTGGAAATTGGTTTTAAGCGATGAGTGGGAAGAGAGAGGATTAAGAAGAAAATATTTGTATGCTAAGATTTGTTGGAGCAGATGCCTTAAGGATTTGAAGACTAGAATATATTGTAATAAGATTTTAAACAGATTTGGACTTTCTTTCTCTTTGATTGATATTACCCCAGAAGGAGGAAGTGAGAACTCTGCCTTGGTTTGGACTGATTGATAACTTTGGGACTGTTTTATCTTTTTTATTTTCTTTTGAATATTCTGGTTGTTGTAAGAAGAAAGAAGGAGAAAAGAAAAGAAAAGATTTATAATGGCTCTTTCTGTTGAGGAACTAAGAAATGGTGTGGAAGAAGCTTTCCTTTTCTTAGAAATGGCGCTTACTAATTATCAACAAAAATTACAACAGATGAAGACAGCAGAGGAACAAGAAAGAAAGGAAGGAGCCATCTTTAATGAATCTCAGAATTTGATCCAGAAAAAAGGAAGAGAGAAAGAAAAGAAGAGAAGAGAAAAGAAGAAAACTAAAGGATTTAAGGACTTAAGATCTAAAAAAACATTTAAGAAAGGGAAAAATAAAGTGCAAAACCAATATGATGATTGTAAACAAAGGGGAAAAGAAATACGACAGAGAAGGGAAGCCGGTAAGGCAGAGGCTAGAAGAAGGGGGGGTAGAAAGGTTTGTTGGGAAAAGAAAGAAAGGGAAAAGGTGGAGAAAAGCTACAATGTTTTGAAATTAAATGGAAAAAAGGAATTTTTTATGGATAATGGATAAAGTATAATTTTTTTTTTTAAAAAAAAGATTTTGCAAGGTACATAAGATGAGATGGTAGTATTGCAATGGTTTAAGAGTTGATAAGAGATTAAAATGTTAAAATGTTTAAAAATGATTGGCTTTAAAACTTAATAATAGGAGAGGTTTAGAATATTGTTTTAATTAAAGAGTTTAATAAAATTATGGTATTGATGTCATTATAAAATTTTTATTATAGTATTTCTTTTTAATATTTGGATTTATTGTTTAATTATGCACTTAATTGTGTTGGATGTATTAGTTAGATAGAATGTACCAAGCAAAATCTGAATGGGTATTAGATATTATTTTAAAGATTAATTTGATTAACTTAGGGGGGAGATAGAAAGGCATCATACTCTGATTAATGATTTCAGGAGAAACTGATTTTCTTTTTTTTCATAAGGGATGAGACAAAGGGATGATAAAAAATGGACAAAAGATACAAATATAATGATTTAAACTAAGATGATTAATTAAGGTAGAATTAAGAAGTGTGAAATATGTGGAGAAGTTAATATAGAAGGTTTAGAATGGTAAATAAAATAAGTAATGATATGTAAGATGAGCATGAATATAATTGAAGTCCATGAAGAGAGAGATACCTGGGTCCAAGTTACTTTCCAAAAAGATTTTTTTTTATGTTTTGTGTGTTGTGTGTATATGTCTTTTTTGGGGGGAGAATTGGTAAAAACTTGTAGAAATATAGAATGAGAATAATGGTAACTAAGTCAGAAAGAATCAGATGAAATAATAATAATGATATTGAATAAGAGTAAAGAGAAGTAAAGAGAAATTGAATAAGAGGTTTTGGTATATTATATGGAAATGGTTTAAAACAGAATCATAATTTATCTGACTTGTTAAATTTACAATGGAAAAAGGTTTAAACATGTAATGAATAATGATAATTTGTGTGTTTTAAAAATCAATAAAACTTGTTTTAAAAAAAAAAGAATGGCTTTCATTAAAATATTTTAATCAAGTTGCAAAAGTGACTGTCTAAACCTAAAGTATTCAGTTGATGAGAAATTTGCAAGTAAAGACTTTTTTGACTTCCTGGCAAACCAATTGCCAAAAAAGCCACACTGTTGCAATATCTTGCCATGAGTTTTAGAAGCCGATGCATCAGAAGACAATCTGGCAGACATAATGACCAAGCCGTTGGGTGGAATGCACCATGGGAAGCATATTAAGTTAATTGGATTTATGTCTCTTCCAGCCATGAAGGGAGGAGTATTCATAAACTGGCAGAGACAAAGTTACTATTGACCTCACCCCTTTCCTAAGAGGTCTGTAGGGGGCGTGCATAAGTGCACCGTCCCTGTCCTATTGTTTCTTTTTATTTTTCTTATATGTACCCATTTCATGTATTCATAACTATGTATATACTTATACCTATTATCTTGTAAGCGATTGACAAATCAAAATAAATAAATAAAAATAGAGACAACGTTAACAAGGTCAGCCAATGAGAGCTGAATTGGGGACCGAAACTTAAGAGTCTGGGGTTGGTTTGGCTTAGCTCTGTGCTCTCAGCTCTAAAGTGAAATAGAAACTGATCTCTGCTCCAAGCTGCTGCTTGTGTTTTTGCTTGTAAACTCACTCTCTATCTTCTTTTTCTTCTAAACAGCCTGTAGTCAAAACAATCTAACTTTGATCTCTGTTAAAAGTTCCAATTTTTTTTAAAAAAGTATATGCAACCTCTAGATGGCAGTATTGCTTAACTTTCTCCTTTAGTTATACTGTATCCAATAGGTTCTGACCAAGTAATCCTTTTAAAAAGTAAAAGTAGAAAGAGAAAAAAAAGTCCAGATTTTAAATTTTAAGTTTAGCAACAAAAATTAAAGGTAATCTTCTATTAAATATTGTTTGAAAATCCAGTCCGGTTAATAAAAAAAAAATTCTTTAAAAAATAAGGAAAAAATAAAATAGTACCAATAAAGTTTGACAGCTAGCCTTATGTTCTATTTTGCCGCTGTTCTCCACTTTTCTATCTTCTTTCTTCCCTTGGGGTACTCTGATTTTGATTTAATTACGAAAAAAAAAAAAGAAAAAAAGAAAATGAAAGTTCTCACCCAAACCAACACACTTTTCCTTCCGATCTTCTTCCTTTCCGGGGCTGTCACAGCTTTCTAGTGGCTTTAATGGCTGCTTTCTTCTGCTGCTTCCGGAACTTTCCTGGATCAACAGGGACTTTACGATGTCCCTGGGATCAACAGGATGTGCTTCCTTCACTTACCGTCTCTCCATGGACAGTTCGGGTCCAATTGGATCGTCCAGCTGAGGGGGTTTTGATGCACGCTGCCACATTCTTGCGCCTGGGAAGATGGGAGTGGGGAATTTCATGGAGCCTATGTGGTTAGACATAATAGCATTCTTCTTTAGAGTCAAGGTCATGTTCTTCCTGCACCTGAGTAGTAGAAGAGGGGATGTCTCAAGTTGGGACGGATGGTGATGGGGACATGTGATGGAATGATGGGAGCAGGAGGTGAATTTCTAATATTTTACTTACTGGAAGGAAATCTGGGATTTTCAGATTCGGGATTTCCCAGATGTGCCAGTTTACTACTCTAATAAAAGGGGAATTTGAAAACATGTCTGGTTCGGAGTTATTTGTTGGAATCCAGTTTTTCTGGAATGCTGAAATTATCCTGAATCTCTAAATAGCTACCAGCACCCCGAAAGGGGGATGTCTGGGGTGCTGAGCCCTAATACCGACCTAAAGTTCGGGTGGTGCAAAGACTCGGTGAAGATAGAGGAGAAGGAGGAGATCACAGAAGGAGCGGTGGGAACGGATACCGGAGGACTAATCGAGACCCAGTATCCTCTTTCTGAAGAATTTGTGTGAGCCATTGAAGCTGCAGAGGCTAGGCACTCGGCCTAATGAAACAGATTCCTGGAAAAGTTGTCACACTGATCCAACTCCAGAGATGGGACCGGAAGAAAGGCCGCCGGAACATCATTCCTACTCCAGTCCAGCAAAGTCAGCCCACGAGTCAGAATGGAGAGACGTGGGGCTTTTGGGGTCTGATAGCTCTTGAGACTGGAATCTGTTGCCTCCGTCTCAAAGCCAATCGTTGGCAGGACTCCCAGAGCGTTTTGAGCAACTTGAAGTGGGAAGTTATGTCCCATAGTCCCAACCTCTCCAACCAAGAGGGAACCTAGCGCAACCCACGTTCACTTTTCCTGACCTGGGACCTGGCAGTGGAACCAGTGTGGCATCAGCTTCATTCCACTCAGCGAGCGATGACCAGAGAATCGGCTCAGCACGGCAGAGGCAAGTAGCAGGGGGAGACAGCAGGTGCAGCCAGCATTTGGGATGCTGAAACCTCAAATTGGCCCCCCTCTTCAGCCAACCGTTATGCTAACCCCTGCGGAATGTATTCTCCCAGGCTGGTGATTCTATCCTGGTCATGGGTTGAGAAGCAATGCGTGGGTACATATTCCAAAAGCAATTAGAAGAAAGGGGCAACCAAAGGCTAGAAAGCTCAGGTTTGTGGGCTATGAGCCAGGCTCAAAAAGTTATCAATTTAGCAATGGGAGCAAAGGTATTTTCAAGGTCTGCAAGCTTTGCGGAACAAAATTTGTGGAATGATTCACTTAGTGATGGTGATTCACTTAGTGATGGTAACTCACTTACTGATGGTGTCAGTGTCCAGGGAGGAGAAGCTGAACAAGATACGAAGCAAGAGAGGGTTGACACACAGGAGCAGCCAATGCCACACAGGTCAGAGAGATGGAACAAGGGGATGCCACCTGACAGGTATTCTGCTAGTAAAGTTAAAGTGTGTAATGTATGGTATGAGTCAAGGAACTACAAAGAAGTATTGGCATTACCTAAAATTGAACAAATAAAGTGGAAAGAAGCCATGGAAACGGGGAGTCACAAAAGAAACAGGCAGACCAGAAAAGAGCCCCCCAGAAGGAGTTCAGAATTGGGAATAAAGTATACCTATCTACTAAATACTTGAACCTGAAGCAACCATGTAAGAAACGGGGTCCAAGTACATAGGACCTTTCCCAATTGTTTGTATTATAAACCCTGTTACAGTGGAATTGCAGTTACTGAAGGTGGTGAGGTGTCCACTTGGTGTTCCACTGCAACTTATTAAGCCAAGTTAATGGGGGGTAAGGAACACTGTGAAATTAAAAAGATATTAGACTTGAGGTATTTTAAGGGGAGATTACAATATTTTGTGCAATTGCCTGAGAAAAAGGTGGATTATTCCCATAAGAAAAGTATGTCTTATAATTGGACAATGTGAACACTTAGGATTGGGAGAAAGGGAAGCTATTATTTAACTAAGCAAGACTTTGAGCGGGAAAAGCATAGCTGGGTTTGATTCTTCAGTGCCGAAATGGTGTATCCAATACAGTTTACTTTTGGGAATTCAAACACTGAGAGTGTTTACTTCTTTGGGGTCTGCTAGTCAGACAGCTGACAAAGATCTTCTCTCGGTTCATCAAAGCCAACCTCTCTATTCTTTACAGGTATTCAGGTTTTCTTTTTTTGAAACAACAACAATATATATATATATATATATATATATATATATATA